AATATTTGGGCATGTAGAGTTATTGGTATCATCTTGTTCACTTGTCTTTATTTGAATTTTAAAAAATATCCATTTACCTTGAAAACAAGTCGAGATATTTGCGAAAGAAGGAGGTGGGGGCCACTTGTTTTCAGAGGTAAAATTAGTGAGAAAATGACCACCAAAGATTAGTTATTTCCTTAGCTTATGAGTCCTTGGTAACTGAAAATTTACATTTTTTGTGCCTTTAATCAATGTTTTTCAGAAAAACCGACACAGAAATTAGTTCTTTAATAGGCATGAAAGGTGTTGAGCCAAAAAACAAAAAATTGATAAGAATTCACAAACCTGTGGAAAAGTGCAAGTTTCTTCATTTTGATTATTTTGACGAGATCCTGATTCCACCACGCTGCCTCCCAAATAGTCTTGCGACCCGTTCGTGGTATTCTCTCCATTACCCAGCAGGCTTTGGATACACAAAAAAAGGTGACCCCGGGCTACCTTAAGTGGTTCATTGTCGTTTTACATAAAGCTTACACTGCTTTTGTTCTTACGGACAAAGCCTATCAACAAATGGTCCCTTAACCCTTTAAAAGCCCTGAAGCTCCAAAGCCCGATTACCTGAGCTCCCTAGAGTCGGCTGCCAGATTTGCTCCACTGCTCGCTTTCAGGGTGTGGAAGGGTACAGCGTCGATAATGGTTTTGTTTGGAGTAAAGAGAAACACATCGAAAGGCATACTAAGCTTATAAAGGTCATTTAATATTAATGCTGCCTTAATCTAAAACGTACTTAATGAAATAGTAAGACGGATTGACAGCCAGAAACAATAGAGGGGAAGAAAAGCTGCAGAGCCAACCAGTGTCAGCCTCCAAACCATCAGTGTCGAAAAGGGGTTAAGATGAAAGTAAATCAAGAGTTGATTATGCCTCCCAGGAGTTTACAGTTTAGTTCTAAACTCCTTGTTATGTCTGTATTTGCCCCTGCATCATGCATGCGCAACGCTACATTCTTTTCTACGGAACTCTTAGTTTGCCGTTTCGGTACACAAATCTCTATTCTGACTGCGATGATTGCAATGTAGGAAATCTCTAAAAGTAATTACAATTTATGTAAGGAACCCATTTTCTCTGACCTTACGCCCCCATTCAATTCACCCCTTTTTTCACAACGTGGGGGTGGGGGAGGGGGTGGTGGCAAGTTCTTTGGTGTATCTATTTCTATTGACCTGATCTCTACTCATTCTTTTCTTCGCATGCTCTTTATTAGTAATAACACTCAATAGCATTCGGCATTTATAAGTTATACGGCTTGACTCCACTAATTGCAAGTGCTGTAAAACTGTCACTAAAGGTGATTTTAAAAAAACAACTTC